TGAATTTCTTTTTAATATTACCGCCTTACCAGATAGGTCAAGATTAACAAAAAGAATACTTTTGTCAGATCTCAACAAGGTGTTTGATCCTCTGGGTTCCCTTGCACCTGTGTTAATAAAGGGTAAGATATTTTTACAACAACTCTTGCAATTGAAAACGGACTGGGACACGCCACTTTCAGAAGAAATTCAAACTAAATGGAAGAAGTACCACGCGCAATTGCAAGAGCTCGGGAACATATCAATTCTAAGGAAGGTTCAACCAGCACTTAGTAAGATCACAGAAATTCACGGTTTCTGCGATGCATCTATAGAAGCATATGGCGCATGCATTTATGTTCGAACCTTAACTCTTCAATGTGAATGGAATGCTAGGTTACTCTGCTCTAAATCTCGAGTGGCACCACTAAAAGGAGCGACCATTCCACGGTTGGAGTTGAGTGGGGCACTATTACTGGTCCAGCTAGCAGAAAAGGTGGCTAAATCCTGGAACATCAATGTGCAAGAATTTCGATTATGGACAGATTCCATGGTTGTGCTCGCATGGATGAATAGTCAATAGTCATACTTCCAGGTTAAAAACATTTGTGGCAAATCGGATATGTCAGATCCTGGAAAGCACTAGAATACAACAGTGGAGGCATGTAAAAACCGATGACAACCCAGCAGACGTTTTGTCAAGGGGTACCACTCCAAGAGAAATAAAGGCGCATAATCAGTGGTGACAAGGTCCACGATGGCTTTCTGAAGACTCAGCTACATGGTCAACAACGCCTGTTTTACTACCAGAAGAAGGTACACTGCCAGAGAAAAGACCAATGCATTTAGCACTGCTCACCGTAGAATCAACATTGGACCTATTGAACTACTACTCCAAGTGGCACAAATTGGTCAGAGCAGCGCCTGGTTACTAAAATATATTGAGTTTCGAAGAACAAAAAATAGGAGTACTGTATCAAAGTACCTTAACGTCACAGACTTAAAAAGAGCTGAAGTAGGATTAATTAAACGAGCGCAACTGGATGAGTTCCGTGACGAGCTACATTCACTAAGGATGAGTAAAGAAGTCTCAGGAAAAAGCAAGTTGAAGTGTTTGTATCCAGTACTTCGAAAAGACAATCTGATTTTAGTAGGGGGCAGATTGAATAATGCCGAAATTGATGAAGAACAGAAACATTCAATAATTTTACCGGCTAGGCACAAGGTAACCAGATTAATTTTTGAAGACGCTCACGAACAACTTTTACACGTTGGACCTCAGCTATTGTTAGCAGGTGTGCGACTGAAATATTGGCCCTTGAAGGGAGAATTATGGCTCGCTCTGTGACAACAAGATGCGATACATGTGTACGTGCAAGACCCAAATTTGTATACCCTCTGATGGCACCCCTTCCGAAGACACGACACGACTACAACCTTCCAGACCATTTACTGTGAGTGGAGTTGATTTTGCGGGTCCGGAGTTAGGAGCGGAGTAAGACGCATTACTGGTGTTAAGGCATGGGTCGCGGTGTTTATATGTTTCTCCACCAGAGCAATACATTTAGAGGCGGTAGTTGGCTTAACAAGCGGAGCCTTCTTAGCCGCATTACGGCGCTTCGTGTCACGCAGAGGAAAATGTTAGACAATCCACAGTGACAATGGAACAAATTTTGTCGGCGCTCAAAAGGAGTTACATTAATACCATGAATTCATCTGCTTTACATAATTGTTCGTTGTTTTATGTCTAGAAGAGGAAAATGTGCTAAGATTTATAGCGACAATGGAACAAATTTTGTTGGGGCTCGGAAAGAGCTATATAMAAAACTGTGATTCACAGTTGGCATGTGAAGGAATCGAGTGGAAGTTCAACCCGCCATCAGCCCCACATTTTGGGGGACTTTGGGAGAGCGCGGTCAAAAGCACAAAGCACCACTTAAGTCACACATTAAAGGATATCCGTCTTAATTTGGAAGAGCTCAACACTTTATTATGCCAGATAGAGGCCTGCGTAAATTCAAGGCCAATTACTCCACTAAACAGCGATCCCTCCGAGCCAGAAGCTCTAAATCCTGGTCATTTCTTAATTGGTGGACCCTTACTATTGCTGCCAGAACCRAACATAGATATTGGGCCTATTGAGCACTTGTACCGTTGGAAATACGTGCAAGAATTGATGAGAGGTTTTTGGAATCGCTGGCACAAGGAGTACTTGCCACAACTTCAGGTAAGGGGAAGGTGGGTAGCAAAAAAGGACACAATGCGTGTTGGAGACGTAGTCATGATAAAGGAGGACTGCACTTCGCTCAGCAAATGGAAATTAGGTAGAATAATGGCTGTGCATCCAGGGAAAGACGAGATCATACGTGTAGTAACACTTCGTACATCAAGTGGAATTGAAATAAAGAGACCCAGGCACGCCCGCAGAGATTTAGCTCACTAGGTGCAAATATTTTTAATATCAATATAAGATGTGGGGGGCTTCGCCCYTCACACCCCCCTAACACTCATTACATGGCATATATTATTTATCATCAATAATGGGTATAACAAAATATATTTAAAACATAACTCATTTTATTTATTACTTCTAATAAAATATAAAAATTAATGTATACAATAGTCAATACTCAATACCTATTAATCATTGAAAAGCAATGCTAACCGCCTAGAACTCAATCCAAACTTTTCAATAATACTTTCTAATTGCTGTTCATAAAACATATGTTTTTTATGTGGTAAACCGTACAGAGACACAGTGTACATGGAATAATATTTATTGACAAAATTATTATCATTAATGCACGTGACCGTGCATCTAAGCAATCGTTTTCGATAGGTTTATAATTTTAGATGTATAACACACACATACATATACATATATAAATAATAGTGTACCACAGAATAGATGTCAGATACCGAAATTCATAATAATATTATTAATGACCAAAATAAATGTATTAATAGACGCGTGGTTAGACGTGACTGTACAGTGTACACAGTACTAAAATTCGGCAGACGGCGATATCTCAGAATAGCCAGATGCCAGAATAGCTAATAWGTATTACTATATTGGGAATAATCATGGGCATAAATTAAAAATTTACAGAGAAGGAATTTTTATATTTTATTATTTGTTTGAAAAATCCAAATTATTAAAATTCTCAGGTGGTGCATTTGCACCACCTGGCCCCCCCTCCGGGCGTGCCTTTTTTTTTTACATGGTATCGAGGCACGGGGTGGTACTAACCTTTCGGTCATTTCACCCCCGTGTCTCATCATTTATTGATAAATCAATCGTACAACGGCCAGAGGCCAAACTGAGGGTTACGTGGGACAATTCCCCAAGTAGCCCCCTTACAATAATAAATATGTTTTGTTACATAGTGCGTTTGGTGCTTGTTTTRGTTGCCGGGGTCCTCTTGGCGGGCCGACCGGAGTCCRCCGCCCTGGTTTTTTCCCGTTCATTATGTCCTCTTCAAGGGCCGGCCTATGCCYGCCGCCCTGGATTTCTCGTGCTTGGGTTTCCTCATTTTAGTGCGGCCRCCTGCCTTCTTCTCTCTTCCTCTTCTTTTTTCCTCATGATCGCTTCAATCATGGCCGCTATGGTGTCCCAATTCTCCTTTGAGACGAGCATTGTGGGGATCAGGTTTGTTGTGTTTAGGTCTGTCTCTAGGGCCATCTCYGCTTGTCTCCTCCTCGAGTGCCACGCGTCGCAGTGGAATATTGTGTGTTCGGCATCGTCTACTGCGTGTCCGCAGAAACAGCACTCCGACGTTTCCAACTTTCCGAATCTCTTCAGGTACGCGGCGAAGCATCCGTGACCACTCAGAGCTTGCGTTAGGTGGAAGCTTGTTACTCCGTGTCGGCGGCCTGTCGAAGTCCCGATGTTTGGGATGAGGGCATACGTCCATATGCCGTCTTCGCTGTTTTCCCATTCCGTCTGCCACGTATCCAGGATGTTTGCGGGTGGAATTACCAGTTCTGGGTTCCTCTTCTTTTCGTGCAGCTTTTTTCTCTCCTTGGCGAGCAGGTTTAGCGGGGGGATCCCAGTGATGACTGCTACTGCGTCTCTTGAAGTCGTGCAATAGGCGGAGGCCACTCTCAGGCAGATTCGCCTMTGCACCTTGAGGAGTTCGGCCCAGCCTGTTGCGCTCATCTCGTCTGCCCACACTGGTGCGCCGTACAGCATCACTGAGTGTGCCACGTTACTCAGCAGCTTTCTCTTCGTCTGTTTCGAAGCACTGATGTTAGGCATTATGCGTGACAGTCTTTTAACGACGTTCCCTGCCTTGGTCGCTGTGATCCTGGCGTGTTCCGTGAAATTGCATTTGCTATCGATGTGTACGCCCAAGTATTTGATGCATTTCCGAGAGCGCACCTGGTGGCTGTTTACACTAATCGTCATTTCGTTGTGTGTCCTTGTTTGGGTTATGATCATGGCCTYGCGTGTCCTGGTCTCAACAGGTTGTTGTTGATGTTGTTTCTCAACCTGTTTTGACAGCCCTTCTAATAGAGCTCCTTGCTTTTCCTTGATCCCGCGGAGTTCAGTAATGGCTGCCATGGTTTCTGCTGTTCTCGGCGTGCCTGCGTCTGCTCCAGTCTTTTGTCCATTTGACTCTCTGATTGTTGCTTTTTCCGCCTCGTATAACGCACCGTGTAGGCTGGCGGTGCACGGTTTTAAGTGCTCGGTTGCCCCGATGACTCGCTCAATGGCTTCCACGATCACTGGGGATTTGCTCTTTCCCTTGCAGATTTGTAAGTGGTCTGTGGCCGTTAGTATGTCGTTGATAACTTTGTTCTGCTGCTTCATCATTTGTTTTAAGTTTAACAAGGCTGTCTGTGTGCTTGGTTGCTTGCTGGAGTTCGCTGCTAATAATTTGTCGTGGAAATTTGATGCGCCCCCCTGGGACACAGCTGTCTCAGCACTAGTAGCCTTTAGAGTTTCGGGGGCTAGGCTGGCCACCCCCGTACCCTCACGGTCGTATGGTGACGACCGTAGTGAGCCCGCTACGTTGGACCCGGCTGTTACCCCGGATCCACCCACTACTGCCGACCCCTGGGATTCCGAGGCCCCCGGGGTGGTAACAATATTTCTGTTGTTAACGTTCATATTGGGTATTTAAAGTGATTTCCTTCACTTGCATTTTACCTACTGCCAGGGGATTTTAATTCAGTGTTGCCTTCACCTATGACCGTTTGCAGGCGCTTGCAAGTGGACAAGACCTGCCCGACCAGTTAAGGTCAGKATCTGTGTTTGGGTCTTACCGGGATAGCTTTGTAAGGCTCAGTTAAGAGCCCGCAAGCCTCTCCGCCACGTCAAGGCGGATCCCATGGGGAGGTCCGGGCGTGCCTGAAGAGACCTGTAGTTAAGTTATGTCCATAGGCGCACATAGGGTGTGAATTTAGGGGGTGCTGAAATAATTTATAGTACACAGACCCGYGGGGAGCGAAGCCCCCCACTACACCACCCTAATACTATAATAATTGCCTCGCAATAATTATAAATTTTATTAAAAATAAAAATAAATATTTTGTAATTATATTAAAAGTTATAATAACA